CATATCACTGTGCCTTTTGGAGGATAAGATGCATCGCTAAAAAAATTATAAATCTGAGATGCATGTCCCTACGTGTTATCAGTGTCTTTGAATATGAAGCCCTAAAAATCGCGCCTCAGAGTGCCTCAAAAAAGTAAAAAAAATCTTTCAGTGACCGCTTTTGCCATACTCATTTCCCCGATATACTTAAGTGTTATAAGAACCGTTGGGAAAACGGTTTTTGAAATTCCGATTTCCAATCATAATATCTTGATAATCAGACAGGCGATCGGCTTGTAAAAGTCATGAGATTCCTGACTGATCCAAAGGTTTATAATGATGATTTCAGCATGAGCTAAATCCAGGATTTTGTTTAGAATCTGAGGCAAAGATTCCCATTCCCTTAACCATGTTAAAATATTGCCTGTCATAGCTTGATCGGGTATCTGATATTTGCACCAACGACACTTACTCCAGGCTTTATTTTTTCAAAATTATAGGATTAGGGTTCAGTTTTCGATTTTGGGGTATAAGGGTATATGGTTAGTCTTAGGTTTAGGTTTATAATGTTTGGCCCAGGTCTTAAGTCATTAACCTCTGTTGGTGTATGAAATTTACTGCGGAACAATTTGTGTCGTCTGAGCGTTAGTCGTACAAAATCAATATAGCTAGACCAGGAACATGTTAACTTTATCACTTCCTTCGATAGACACGTCACATTGTGAATAAATCACCAGTAAGTTTGTCTTATGGAATCTAAATAAAGTACAGCATGTTTTGACGCTTGATTGGTAATCTTTAATAGGAGTACCAGGTGTGACGTTGTCTTGTTCACCCCAGTGGGCCTTAAACGGGGTACGACACAACCTGTGACCGTCATAAATAAACTCAAATAACTTTTCTAAAACAGATCAGAAATAGCCTATATTAAAAATTTAAACAAAAAACAGAAACCGCATATCAATACCCATCTAGGGTAGACGTGTTAACAAAAATTATGTTGGTGAAATAAACTGTTTAAAAGGAAATTGTTGTTAATCAATGTATCATGATGTTAGTATGCTTACCGATACCTAAACTTTGATTTGATTTTGAGGACCATTATGAATACAACATGCCATTTAGAGGAAACTTATCATGATGTGTAAACTGAGGCGATAGAGGAAAACAAAATCATACATAAAATGTTATCGCCTCCAAATATGTTACTGCTGCACGTTATTAGAGTAGCTGTTTTTTTATATGTTTAATCATGCAGGCCTATATGTTTTATACAATATCGCAAAAATGTACGTTTAAATCACGTTATAAATTACAAGACAAGTGAAACGACAATATTACAACAACAACAACAACAACAACAACAACAAAACAACCTTACGTTCCTTACTGCATTTTTAAGCATTCAAAATTCAAAGCCTTTTCATAAAAAAAATGTTAAATAATACCTTTTGAATAAATGACAATGTGGACGTGCCCGCCTATTTACACTCATCCCCTGTTAAAGTGATCATGGACAGATGGCAACAAGCCCCTCACAACTGGAGTAAGATAATCAACATTGAAAAATTGTAATGCACAAGGCTGATGGAATATGGCAACTGCTTTGTATGGGGCCATTTTGATAGCAATGATGACCTAATGTTAATATTAATCGGTTGACCGTTGACCTTTAATCGCAGACCGAATGAGAAGGAGATAACGAATCGGAGTGGAGTTCGTTAAGGAGCAAGGAGATTCGTGAACATCCGTATGACCAGTCGAGTATCCAGACCTCAGAAGCAGGAGGGGAGGGGGAGGGGGTTGGCAAAGCAATTCAACTTTCTGTGATCCATGTACTTTAAGTTAGGAGGGCTCTGTCTTTCGTGAAGGGGGAGGCAACGCCCAAAATGACTTATTTTGAGAAAGTTTGTTGAAAAATTTGTCTAGATTAAGTTCATATCTTGACTTTAATTCCTTTAACTTGCGTACAACTTTAGAGGCTGCGTTTTTTTTTTCTTCGTCTGAATGGTGTCACGTTGGGCAAATTGCCCCACCTTTTACTCATCCTTTTAATACACCAGTGAACGTAGCTGCATGCATGCGTTGTCAGACTTTACATGTATATATATGGTACGACGCTTGTCGGGTTTAAACATGATAAATTAGTTGAGTAGCGCAAATTGGGAGCAACAGGGCATTACAACTAATTAAGAGAGTTAGTAGTGCCCTTGATTGAAGGTTAATTGGGGAGAAGTAATCTAGACAAGTAGGCGTAGGGAAAATGGAAGGGTATATTAAACTCAGGCGTACAGATAGGATGTGTTATGTTATGGCTTGCTTTGCGATGTAATGTTCGCATTATGAGACGGAATACAATGTGTATAGCTATTGCAATTCTTGTTACAACGTTGCAGGTTAACTGTCATCATATAACTGATTGACTCCAGCTCTGGTTAATATGAAAATAACAATCGTTGTAGATGATATTAAACTACCTACGAGTAATACCTGTAAACAACCTAGTAGTAATACGCGGCTGCCTTGAGCAAGCTGCATGCTCTGCTTTCTTCAGTTTCTTGCTGTCTACTCCTTAAAGATTATACTGAGGCGAAGATTGTTGGCGATGAGTATCCAGTATATTTATTCAGTGTGAGATGGATGATATTCCCCCTCTAGGCCAACAGTAAGATTCAAATAATTTTTAAAAAAGCATGTAATGATTGAATAAAAAAAAATCACCGTGTTCAATTTTTTCACTTTCGACAACCAATTATGAAGAACAAAAATAATGTTAGTATCATTCGTCCCCGTCTTCATAACAATTATACAATTTATCCACAATGATAGCTGTAGGTCGTTACAAAATCCTCACAGAATTTTGTTTGTCTTTTTCTTTCTATCTTTTTTATTTTGCGAACTGAGATGAAATTTCGCAGTCCCCATACAATGCACCGTCGGTTCATGGATATCATGTGAGCAGCGAAATACGATTAAGGAAACGTGATTTAAAGATCCATTGCATGTTAAAAATAGCCTTCTTAACCCATATTCCATAATCCCTAATAAGCCGTAAAAAAATATTTGTTGACAGTGATCGAACATTTCTCTTTCGCTTTTGGTCATATTTGAGAGAACCAATTCATTTCTGGCACCGTTAGTATACCTTTGGAAAAATCAGGCAAAATCAAAAGGGTTGTTAACACTGATAATATTTTCCCCTGAGAGCAAAAGCGATCATATGGTGATAGGTGCATGCCCCCGTTTGAACTTGGACGAATTTCAGACATGTCCACATACGCGTAGAGATGGGAGCAGAAAAGAGGGTAAGCACCACAATTTTACTGAAAGAACATTGGTTATGTGAAAGTGCCTTCGACCTGCCGTATAATTATATTGAGTAAAGTGCGAAGAAGGATGATGTGAAAACGCTCCCAAGTCATATCCAATACGTCAAAAAACCCATCCGAATCGCACACTGAATTGTAAAAACGCTGCAATTGGAGACGGAAAGAAGAGTGTATGATGTATTGAGGATAACTTTAATGGTGCGCTATGAGTGTGTGTGGCAGAGGCGATGGCGCCGCTTGCTTTCTAATGGTAAACGATATCAGAATATTCGAGATTTTGTTTCATGAAGTTCTTACAACATTATTGATATTATTCCTACAAAATCGTTCAATGTCTCATCCAGATCAAATGTTGGCCTATTCTATATTGATGAAAAACAAAATCGTTCTATAGGTGATGTGTGTGTTTTCTTCTTTTTTTTTCTGCGAAGAAAAAAAAAGAAAGAACACAATTTTCATTTTTGCTGTTTCTCTTCTTTTTCGTCATCTCCGTCGTCATTCTCTACCTCAACGTTTTTTACTCTTTTTTTCCCTGTCTTTCCTCTTCATTCCTCTTTTCTTCTTTGTCTTCTTCCGCTTCCTATTTTTCTTCTACTTCTTCTTCTTCTTCTTCTTCTTCTTCTTCTTCCTTCTTCTTCCTTCTTCTTCTTGATCTTTATCTTTGTCTTTTGTAGTCTACTTCTTTATCTTCTTGTCCCCCTACTTTTTCTATACAGTATTTTGGAGTGGAGGGACCTTGTATTAGTGTGCCAAAATGCATGTGTGAGCCGCGCCTCGAGCAAAACTTAAACTGATTTCTGTATACAAAAGAGTGTTCGATGTAAAAGGGGGAAAAAGTTCTCCTTGTTCTTTAGCAATGATAACCCAAACCAGCTGTTTTTAAAACGCCTTACTGTTCAGAGAAGAAGATGCTAATATAGGAAGCTACAAACAGATGCGACTAGGGGGGGGGGGGCGGGAGGAACAAACATCTGTAATTGTTGTGGTTTCTTACTGTTATATCAGGTATTGTCTTCTTCCAGATGATAGTGGAAAGGGGATGTAGGAGATAACTGTTCATTAATTGAATTTCATTGCTGCGTTCAATTACGTAATACGAGATAACTTAATATTACAAAATATATATATAACAAGATTTTCAGACATTAACAAATTACATGTACTTTTAAACACATGATGAAAATATACACATGGGAAATTAAAAAATTTACGATCAACAGAATTTGTGAACGTAAGGGATTGCCACCATGAGCTAGTTCATTTAAGTCAATGGCGGCCTCAAGGTAGAAAAGGCGACATAATTTAAAGGTTATTATTTTGTGGCAACATAAATTTCAAATTCTGAATGATTTCTCGCCTCGAGTAATACACATGAAGAGTGAAGAAACATGCACATCGGATTCTTTTTGCTTTGCCCTTAATTTTTAATCCCGATATCCAAAATATGGTTTGAAAAATGCCTACCATGGGGAAAGGGGTATCATACACAGTGCGGCATGGCTTCGTTTCAATGTCATGGGCAATCATTTGCAAGGTCCATTAATCTTGTTACATTATGCATAGGCTTATTGTAATATGTTTCTTTCTTGTTTGTGCAAATATAGTCATTTTCTCTCTTGATTTAGAGTGGAATTATCAACAAAATAATCAAGAAAAAGTGAATAATGTTATTTTGTCATTCTTTTCAGACTTCCGAGATCGTGACAAACCAGCGTGGCACCGGACATCAAAGATAAGGGTGAGTCCTCATAAAACTTCATGATCAACTTTGATATTAACACTCTGCTGGGTTCCCTTTAAATCTATTTTAGTGAGAAAAACAAGCAGGGAGGATAATTTACCCGCTACCTATGTAGCACATAAATCAAGACAGACAGGCCATGCATATTAACGCAAATGAGATGGTCTGGGACGAGGAAGGGAAAGGAAGGGAACAAGATAAATGCTATCTAGGGGTTGGAGAAAATCACTTGAATACTGCCAGAGACAAACAGGTTACCCATGCATATATATCTTTTAAGTTGAATAAACATATATGCATTTTATGAGAGTTTAAGAGCATTTTGATGGTGTTTAACTTGTTAAATACTTGCTCACTTAAAGGAATAGCTCATTGTACTCTCGTTTCCCTTGGTTTTAATTTTGTTTGTGCGTGTGTGCGTGTGTGTGTGCGTGATGTGAAGGGGTTGTTAATTCATTTAATCTTTTGTTGATAATATAGTAAATTAGAATCCCCTAAAACATCGTGTTCTTTGGACCAGCAAAATATATGAAATTAAAAAATTTGTTTATGTTTTCCTTGTAATTTCTATTATTATGATAGAGAAAGCGAGCGGAGAGAATTGAACTGCCCCAACAATACATCAAAGCTGCCTTAGTTTTCGACGAAACCTTTGTAAGTAACACTTGTCCATTTTGAAGAAATGTTCAAGTGGTATAGTATTTTATTATCAGTCGGAGTTAAATTGGAGGGCAATATAATGTCCACTGCTAACGAGACCTGTCAGAATTGATTTGTTTTTATTTAATGAAAATCATACTAAAGCTGTCAAGCCACATTTACCTCAACGAAAACAACAAACATCGCAGACTGGGGTCCTAATTGTCAGGAATAAGATAATGGTTAGAGCATTTTCTAAAACAAGAAATTAAAAGATATGAAGTCTCTGCATAGAGTTTCTAATCAGCGGAAGAGCGATCAGCGCAGCTCAACAGTCCTTTTGAAGTAATACGGAACGTATCTTGTTATAAACGAGGGACATGCATTGTCCTTCAAAAGCGGCCCTCTCCTTGACTGGTTATTGAAATTGCAAAACTAAACGGTATGAACCCCTCGATAGACAAGCAGTGCTGTTACTAGAACTTCAGATTTAGGTTAGCTATTCGTATCTTAGAGTATCTTTTTAGTATTTGTAGTTAATTTCTAGTTTTGTTTAGAATTGTACAACAGCAAATATATAAGATAAAATTATAATCAAATTAATCAAATTCCGTCTTATGCATGTTATGTGTTTTTGTAATAATTGAGCAACAAATTTCCTCTTGGATTTTGCTCATCAGTAAAAAAAAAATGTTAATGCTAATAAACAATTATTTTAGCTGCCAAATTCTGGATTCGATATCTCACTAACAATTGTCTACAGTGTACAATTAAACAAAACCCTATCGTATACCCAATAGAAATCATGTCGGGAATACATAATACGCCACTGTAATGTCGCTATTGGAATAAGTTGATTTATGGAAAGGTTTACAATCTTGCTATATAGGAGGAGCTAACATCTCTGTACTCTACTCGGCATAGACGGGAGAAAGCACCTTCACTCGACCGGTACACTAGTCGTAATGAAGTTGAACGATGTATTCAATATTACAAATCTGGGGGAATAGCAAGGTGATGGGGTGATTTATCAAGTATTTACAATTTTTGACAGGGTCTTCTTAAGAGGAAAATGTCATAGAATGCAAATACATCTCAGAAACTGGGAAATCGGGCCCAGGAGGTTTCAGGGTCTCAGAAATAGATGCCAGGCATGAAATATGAGATGAATATAAAATAAGCCAGAAGTGACGTACGTGTCTAAGTGAGAAAGGGTCTCCTCATTTAAAGAGAAGGTCGAGTTCTGGGAAGAGGTGAAAATAGTAAGTGAGCGTTTTCATCGGTATTATGCAAGTGTGGAACATCAGAGAAAAAATGTTCCCTGAAAAGCATGGCTCTTCAAATGCCTTCATATTCTAAATATGACATGTAACTGCTTAAAAATGAGGACCACATTTTTATGCCACATGTTAGTGTATTCCTATATTAATCTTTCTGTGTACAGTACTTGTTACTTTTACCAAGACTTTGCCAAATATTTTATCATTTTGATGATTCCAGAACCTTGCAGCACACACCAATACTTATATGCTAGAAGATCAATCTTCTTTCACCATGCAATCGCATGACCAGAATTCAACTTTATCTTTAAACCTAGCAGGAATAGTTTGACCTGGTTTGAGACAGAGTTGAGGACTGGTAGGGTTTTTTTATTAATATACACTATACGAACGTCAAAATTCATCTGCCACTTTGATCATAATTTGTTAACCGCGTCATAGATATTGCATGAAATGTTTCATTTATTTAATTTGCACCAAATCCCACCTTATCTTTTTATCTTGCAATAGTTTTCATGCATTTAAAACTATATTTATGGACATCATCATACTATACTTTGAGATTTTTGATGCATTTTGCTGTTGTAATCAAAGATAGATTTGAGATAGAAAGGCAGTTGTACGAGAAAGATATACATGTATTGAATGTGCACGGTTGAATAAAATACTATTTTAGAAAGTATTCAAATTCTGTCCGTGTACCCAATTTAATTTACAGTTCGTTACATAGCCTTTCCTGCTAATGACGATAGATTGGAAATATACGTGAGAAATAGAGAGAGAGAGGGGGGGGGGGGGAAGAGGGAGAGGGAGGGGGTTGGGAGGGGATGGATGTGGTAGAGAGTAGAGAGATCGAAAGAGATGAATGGTTAGATATGGGAGAAAAGAGTATACAATAAGGGAAGATGAGAGGGAGAGAGCGAGCGAAAGGTGGAGAAAGAGAGGGAAAGAGAAAGAGAGAGAAGTGGGGGGGGGGGCGGGGGGGGGAGGACGGAGGACAAAATAACAAATATGATTATGTCGTGCTTTCCTTTCATCAATAATTTATGTGTCCTCTTTTATAGCACGCGCCTTTTAGTCTTGAAGACGAAACAATGCAAAGGTTTGCAGTTAATCTCACCAAGGAGGTGGATCAGGTATCTACATCGAATTTCGTTTTTGTTTCTCTCTATCTCTCCTTTGAATCAGATCATCCTTTATATCATCCCGGAATAAATCACATTTGCTACGAGCTAATTAGATATAATTTGCACTGATCTGTAGCGGTCTATGAATGATTAAAACAAAGACGGGTTCATCATCTTTATTGTCCATACTTTTAGCGATGGAAATTTGTGATATTTACATGATAGCTGTATACATGAACAGACATAGATATAAATTCATTAAAAAAGGCAAGTTTGAGTTGGAAAAAACCCAAACAAACATAAACATGCCATGCATCAAATCTAACACACATGTATATAAAGTAAAATGTATGCAAAGACGATAAGTTTTACAGGTATCAGTAATGTATTGTACTGTTATCACTATTAGTATAATTATCATTATTATTTGTATCATTATTATTATAATTATCATCATTATTATAAGTATCATTATTGTTATTCTTTTTGTCATTATTATCATCATCATCATAATCTTCATCATCGTCATTAACAACATTACTATCAAGTTCATCAATTGGTAATAGTAATAATTTCACCAAACTAATCTTAAGTGAGCACCAGAACCGTTTGTTCAAACAGTCATGTTATCAAATTAAATCTGCTAAATGATGTTTAATGATTGGAATGAAATGTTCAGGCCCTAAACCAGGCAAATAAATATATCATGAACGTCAGGTAAAAGTTTTCCTATTTTTACTTCACCCTACGCATATTTTGATTTTCAAAGACTCTGTTCTTTGCCTTTTTCTAGTCTCTTCAAGACAAACATGGGCAAGGAATATTCATTTGAGAGATTTCTGCCCCTCGCTTCCGTGGCTTTTAGATAATAAATCCAACCGAACCACGTCTTGCTTACTAAAAAATCCAATAACAAATAACGATTGATGTTCTTTGTCGTGTCTTCCAGACATTCAGGCAGCTTAATATCAGGGTTCTATCAGTTACCATGGAAACATGGACCTCGAAAGAGCACATGAATGTTTCATCTCCGCATCATCTTCTAGAAAGGTTCCGCGACTACGGCACTTCCCTACCAAAATATCATGATATTGCCTTTTTACTTGTGTAAGTGAACATTATCAGTCATATTTGCAAACGGCTCTCAAATAGCAATTTAATGTGTATTGATTTCTAATGCAACAGATGGATCTATTATTATATTATATATTATTTGAAAGCAGGTCGGGTTGTAGCATTTGCTCTTGGTCTGCCTCTTATCAGATATCTAGCAGATAGAATGAGATATATTTTCTCTTTGAAAACACACAGGAACATTGCATTCCGCCCTCCCGCCCCTCCCATTCCATTAAAAACCACGCGGTAAACGATTTAGCGTGATGCATTCTTATAGCAATACCATAATTAAAGATTTCTATACCCTGTGAATTTACTCATCAATTATACAGCTTGAAAAAATAAAGCATACAATAAATTACAACCGAACCGAATGATTACCTTGAAAGAATAACCAGTGAAGTGTATAATTAGCATTCGATTAGTTTTGCAGGTGCAAATATTGATCAAGATATCAAAACAATATGTATACGTCAATAATTCTAATTATACCTATAAACGTATACATGAGTTTCGAAAGCGTTTTCATACAATTTTAAATGAGGCCTGTGATATAAAGTTTCTGTTTCCTTTTGGTTTAAAACCACGACTATGCGGTTCAATATAATTGACAAAATATTTAGTAATAGCTCGAGTGATATAATTTCCTTTTTTTCTTTCTAGAAACTAATAATACTTTCATAATTATAAAACGTTGTTGCCATCCTCAGAAAATTGGAAAGGATGTCAATATAAAATGCTTTTACTGTGTACAGGAATATTCTATATGTACCGCTATAACTATTATTTATTTCTATTGATATTTTGGTGCGTCTCTCTTTTCTCTTATTCTTTTTGCCTTTTCCATTCCTGGCTCCTTCCTCTCTCTCTCTCTATTGATTTCTCTTTCTATTTGTCTTATTTTTCCTTCTTTCTCCTCTCCCCCCCCCCTCTCTCTCTCTCTCTCTCTCTCCCTCTTCTCACTGTCTCTTCGTTTGTATCTTTCTCTGTCTGTCTCTCCTCTCTTTCTCTATTTTATCAACAGGTTTAATTCATCCGATATGGCAAAATCAATGACAAGTTTTGATTCAATTTGCCACCGCAATCCGCCGGCAGCCGGTGTTATTTGGGTAAGCGCTCTCCTAGTCCAAAAGTATAAAATGTCCTACTTCTTTTAAAAGTATGTGTTCTTAAATTTCTATCTTAAGGATTGGGTACGTTGATTATTCCTTTGCAGAAATGAACGGGAAAGCGTTGACATGGAATCAATTTCTTGCAGAATTAAACAGTTTTTTTTTTTTGTAATGCAAGTCGGTGTTGTTCCTCATTTCCTCTCCTAACGGCGATGGTAAGATCCGTTGCAATTATCATGTAGTAAAGATCGATACTTATGCACGAAAAGGCTGAGAGTAAGAGTAATGAGAAAGGGATATTACAATGAATTGCAATGAAACAGATTGTTAGCCTTCGTTATGAATTTTGTGAGTATTTCTATATGCTGGCGGAAAAAGATCCGCCCAAGAGAAAATGGCTGTCGACTCTGCGTCTGTTGACAAAGATGTACAGACCAAAATAGAATGACTTATAATCACTTTCTTTCACTATATATTCCCCTTTTTTCCCTGTACGTGACAGGTTTCAGATATTAAAAAGCCATCGAGGATCGCAACTTTGATATCAAGAGGAATAGCAACAAGCCTAGGACTATTAGAAGAAACAGGTGAGGATTGGTAAAAAGGAGAGTTCTGTATGCACTTTCGATTTGATACCCCTCCCCGGGATTGATTAAAATCAAAGCAAGTTTAAACGTATTACAAAAAACAACATCATCCTACTACTACTACTACTACTACTACTACTACTACTACTACTACTACTACTACTACTACTACTGCTGCTGCTGCTGCTGCTGCTGCTGCTGCAACTACTACTACTACTACTACTACTACTACTACTACTACTGCTGCTGCTGCTGCTGCTGCTGCAACTACTACTACTACTACTACTACTACTACTACTACTACTACTACTACTACTACAACTACTACTGCTACTAATACTACTTATGCCACTACTGCTACTTCTACTACTACTACTACTACTATTACTTCTACTACTACTTCTACTACTACTATACCACTACTACTACCACTACTACTACTACTACGACGACGGCGACGACTACTACTACTACTACTACTACTAATACTACTACTACTACTTAGTATACTACTACTACTTCTACTACTACTACTACTACTACTGCTTCTACTACTACTACTACTACTACTACTACTACTACTTCTACTACTACTACTACTACTACTACTTCTACTACTTACTACTAATACTATAAAGAGCATGTGACTGCAACTAACCTGTAACATATTTCAAAAGAGAAATCAAAGTTGTTCAAAGTTTTGTTTATTTTTTTGTCTAGATGCCTGTCAGTGTGAAAACCATAGTTGTCTCATGAACGTGTCTACAATTAGGTAAGAAAATACATACATAAAAGAGTTTGAACGTACATGTAACTGGAATAAACGAATTTAGAGTTTTTAAAAAAATGATGAATAGATTAAAAGGTAATACACACCATTGATATACATGGTTTAAGTCGAAGTATCAAATGAGGTTACATCTTAGATAAGCATGATTATGGAGGTATAGAGCCGGTCATCTTTCTTCAAAAAAATTTGGTTCCTTATAAAACTTGAGCGTACTATATAATAATACACAAATTCTTCATTTACAATATAAATATTCAACACTAACATCGATGATGCTTCACGAAAATTAATGCCCCAATCATTCCATATCATTTTATTTTAGTGGAAATCCCGGGTTCTCTGACTGTAGTGATCAAACATTCCAAGCTGCCTATAATAGAGGGAAATTTTGGTGTCTTGACACTCCACCAAGAAATATCGAGGTAAGAGAAAAGACAAGAGAGGGAAAGAGAAGAGGAAAGATAATTATGAAGGAGGGAGAGAGAGAGAGAGCGAGAGAGAGAGAGAGAGAGAGCGAGAGAGAGAGAGAGAGCGAGAGAGAGAGAGATACAGATATACAGAGAGCGAGAGAAAGAGAAAGAGAGAGAGAGAGAGAGAGAGAGAGAGAACAAATCAAATAGACAGAGAGGGGGAGATGGAAAGGGGAAATATTATGCAAGGGGAAGAAAAGGTTTTGTTTTTTCTTCATTCATGGTAGGCCTACCTACTATCATCGTCTCATCAGATGTGTCCCGAACTACCTGTTTGCCGACAAGAGGTTTATTCTTCGAAAATTTGTCGCAAGGTGGCGTAGTTCAAATGTAGCTATTCACACGATCAAACCTAGAGTGTTCTTGATATTAATAAAGTTTGGAGAGTTACATACCGAAATCAAGGATATGGCAAGTATCCTCTGCAATTTCTTCCACGGATACCATAGTATAGATAAGAAGAGTTGCAAGATTTATTGAGAGAGAATATTCATGCCTCATTCTCTCCCGATACCATTTTGTGCTGGGAAAGATATGAAACATAATTTTTTTCTTCAAGTTGCTTATATCCTCGCGAGTGAAATGAGTCGGGGTTTTTAGTCAAATGATCTAACATTTGAATACGGGACTAACACGATTTTCTTACCTTGATTTCGAGAGCTGATAGAAGCACCCCTGTGCGGCAATGGAATAGTCGAAACTGGAGAAGAATGTGACTGTGGAAATTATACGGTAAGAAAATATAACTATAAATAAGTTCATTTCATTTGCCTTTAAAATGAAAACTGTTAAATTGGAGATTTTACGATAATCTGTTAATAAATTGATGGTAATTTCAGTACCTATTGTATTGCCTATAGAAATCATATCGGATTACTAAATACGTCATTGTCATATTTGCACATTTCACCATATAGTCAAATGTGTATTAAAAGTTTCCTGGGTTGATCTTTTAAAAGTATTTGTGATCTAATATGTAGGATGGTGAGCTTGTTTTAAAAAGATAACGGTATCAAAAAGAATATTGTCCATTGAAATGTGCTTAAATTTGTTTAAGATTGTTAGAACAACACAACAGCAATATAAGAAGAGATTAAAGGTAATGCAAAGTTTTGGGAAATTTCGAAAATTGGATTGAGAGTAATTCTTTACAATTTTGATATATTTGGATGCCCCTGTGGACGTATTATAAGCACTAGAAAATTCAGCCCCTAAAACCCTTTTGCTTTCGAGAAATTGAATAATCAAAGATTTACCGGTGCTCCCGGTAAATTTCAAATATTTCAAAAAGCGCCTAAGGCCATTCCATGGTAGCTGCGACCATGAAAATCTCATAATATGTAGTTCTGATATATAATTTTCTAACGGTAATAACAAATCGGTCGATCCTTTAGTCAAGAAACATTGTTTTAGAGCTAAAGTAATATCAGTCTTGAGAGGGCGCTTTACAACATAAAGATTTTATTATCTACAATTTCATCACTTTAGACTCGATTTCAAACGCGACAACGATCATTGAATATTGTAAAATCGCATATGCTTCCAATAAGTTCATTTGAACCAAATTCATGACCCCATACCAAAACTTTGTAATACCTTTAAAGAGGAAGACATTTCTTGAAGGTATTGAACATTTTCACTAACTAGCGATTGTATTTCTTGAACCGTACTTTCTTTCAAAATTATCAAATAGTAGTTTAGGACATAGTTTTGTAGTCTTTATGGCAGATATAGCGTGAAGTGTGTATATTGGAAATGTAGTGAAAAGTGTTTTTACATAAATCCTTTTATCTGTTTTTTTAAGGCATGTTTGTCCTGCTGTCAAGCTTGTGTTCTAATAGAAGGCGCTGAGTGTGCAGGAGGAAGCTGTTGCAATAGACAATGTAAGGTAAGAATTTTTTAAAGTCCAGTTTTGAAATTCAGGCAGTAGTGATGATAGAAACGTTGGAGACCAAATGGATGCGCTAGAGCCCTTTGGTAAAGCATTAATCCTCATTACCAAGTCCCTCGTTCCCCTCATTGCTTACTTGTAAACATGCACATGCTTTCCTAGCAGTTAGGTAAAAAAAAAAACATCAAATCAAACCGTCAATACTGTTTTGTCTTAATAATCAAACCCAAAGCGTCTATATGATATTTTAAATTTCTTTTCCAGTGTGTTTTGTAAAATGCCAGTTCAACTCACATGGTGTTATGTATACCTGCAGATAAACATTAATCTACTTGTCTTGTTCCAAAATTTTCGTAGTTCCATAGAGGGTTGTCCCTTGTAGTCGCAATGAATCTAGAAATTTGTATTTTTTAATCAAGTCTTGGTATATCTATTCATTTTCTCTTCATATTTTTAGTTATTAATGGCTGGTTCCATCTGTAGAGAACGCCAAGGATCATGCGACATTCCAGAGTATTGCTCGGGTACATTCGGAAACGTAAGGCGGTTTAGCTTCTTAATTGATTATTTGCCTTGATTTGTCAAATTGTAACTTTCATTCGGATTCATTAGTGTTTATTGATTCTCATTTCATCATCCAGTATTTTAAACGCCAGATATTACTCCTTTGAAGATGAATATTCATATTCTCAATCAATTGTTATGCAAAAAAAAAAGGGAAAATCATTTGACACAAAGATTGTTCTCTGGCTGTTTCCAGCGCAGTCTTCAGCTGTTTGGCATAAATTATTATAAATACAGATGGAACGGTATTTGAAGTGATATCCATACTTTTTTTGCCAGCATGTTATTATAACTTTCATTCGAGGCGGTTATTTCCTAAAGATTTTTTTTTGTGCAAACAATAGTTCAAAGTGATTTTTAAGACAAAACACACCTTTAGGTATGCTTTCACAATGGTTTTACATGTAAGAGAAATAAAACCCATACATATTCACTGTATTCGTTTCATCTTTTTTATTTTTCTACCTCAAGTGCCCTAAAAACGTAGTGCTTCATGATGGAGCTCCTTGTAAGAAAAAGGTAAATATAATTTATTGATGTCATAATGCTAAAAATAAAATTAACAAAGTCTTGCGTCCAGTTCTTGTAAAACACAATACATAGAACTATCAAGAGCATAAAGATGCTAGCAAATGCCTAGAAAAAACGATAACTTGATCAAGTTACTTCTGGAAGTATGCAATTTGATGTTTTGTTGTAATTTGTTATATCACAAAACAATGCCGAATTGACGGAGAAATCTTATTTAATGACATTTTATCGTCAAACACTCTCAATTTTGTTGTAGGCTTGCAAGTATTAACAATATTTGTATTCTCCCTTGACTTTATTAAGACATAACACAAAATATAATAAAATTCCTTATTCGGAAATTTGCAATTAAATTCTGTACAAGCATGTACAAATATGAGTAAGAAAGAAAATACATTTCTAAGTTAAGAATACTTTCCTTCCCCCCCCCCCCATATGTATTAAATGAGGCATTAAATTTTGAATTTGCAAAGTTCCAACCCATATTCTTTCTTAAATTTCACACTCTCTACATCGCTGGTACTATTACGTATCAGATGTTATCGCGTCCATGTGTTTTTGCGGTATGTACGTGTATTGCACATTCTCGTGACTGACAGCCTGCGATATTTACTTTGTATGTACATACTCTTTAAACACAACAGCACGCACTGCATTTTCACTTTCTTTCTTAAGTATGCATTTTAATTTAAGAAAGTATTAAGTATCGAAGTGCGTCGTCATACTGGCCAAGTTGTCAAGGTTGCATTTCCAAACATTATTTTGTGCTAAACAATGGTGTGGTGATCACACCAGCCACAAACAGTGAATTTGCCCTGCTCCACTCTAGCCCGTTGCTTGAATGATTCTGCAGTGTTACCTCATGTACAGGCTCTGTCGTTTAGAACCAGTAACCTGGACAATAGGTGAATATGAAGTTAATAGCACATTGGTACGCTATAGATAGCATGGTGGGAGAAAAAAATATTAACTCATCTATCCTGATTAGAATTAGAGTCTCACTATTGCACGTTTCCATATCATTATCAAACTACCTATTTTATTCTTGACGAATATCAACTCAAGGCTATACACATTAGATGCTTTCATTTATATTCTCTTTCTGAATGGGTCCATTTAGACACATGAAACTTAAAAAGGTGTAGAGTAACTTCTATTCTGACATTAAAGTGAGATAAACGAGGGGTTGTATCGTAGCATATTTTTAATAATTATATTTAGAGCGAATATGATAATTCAAAATTGTTTTAAGGGAAAATATAGTTTTGAAGATTTTTTTAGTAAAGGGCAAATTGGAGGAGACCTCGCATGATACGTCACAGAGTTGCCAAGTTATGTTTGATTTATCGCACCTTCATAACTTTCTTACTGTTAATTGATTTTTGCTAAAACTTTCACTGACTTATTTCTCTCATTTTCTCCTATGAAAACCAACTTAAAGATAAACTTGAGTTCTGGTAAAAAAAAAAAAAATTAATTCTCACAGAATCAAACGAAACTTAACTGAATGTTCAAGATTACAAATAAATGACATGTGCCAAACAGTTTTGGAATAAAATGTATACTGGCCGAGAAATGAGCATAGAAAGACAACGAAATCAAGGTAGTACTAGCCCCGACACCATGTGTGTTGTCCCATATATAGCTTTCTGTGTACAGTGCTTGTTACTTTACCAAGACTCGGCCAAATGTATTATAATTTTGATGACTCCAGAACCTTGCAGAGCACACCAATACTTACATGCTACATGATCAACTGTTCATGATCCATTCCACACCTTTTCTTTCACAATGCAATCGCATGACCAGAACTGGAGTTTATCTTTAAGATCAGAGTGGACTTCCTCTTTCACCTCTTTATAGTGCATTTACTGATTTATCACAGGGAGTATATTATCTCCTTATTTTGTATTTCTTACCGAATCCCTTAGTTCATTCCTGAACCCAACACTCTACTACCTATCCGGCCATTAGCCTAAACCTAACCTAAAACCTAATTTGAAACTACTTCCCTGACCCTTACCTTAAAGTAATTTACCGGTGCTCCCGGTAAATTTTGATAACATTTTAAATAGCGCCTACGGCCGTATAATGGTAGCTGCGAACATGAAAATCTCAGACTATGTAGTTGTGATATATAATTTCTAAACGGGAATAGCTAATCGGTCAATTTTAGTCGAGAAACATTGTTTTACAGCTTAATTAATATCTTGACCTTGAGAGGGAGCTATACAACATAAAGAGTTAATTATTTACAATTCCATAACTTTAGACTCGAATTCAACCGCAACAACGATCACTGAATATTGTAGGATCACTTATGCTTCCAACATGTTCATTTCAACCAAATTCATAACCCCATACCAAAACTTTGTATTACCTTTAACCTAAACCCTCTATCTTAGACGGAAAACATCATGCATCATGGATAGGGGGAAATAGAGAGACTACCACCCCATCCCCGAGAAGCGCAAAATTACATTATTTTCATTCATTGTTTTTTTATGATTATGTTTACCAGGGGATGTGCAATGCTGGAGTTTGTCAAACAATGCAAGATCAATGCTCACATCTATGGGGTGAAGGTAAGTCATGACTTCCCTTACATGAAACATTATTTTGATTCTTTGATTTACCTCAATACTTATACCTCGATCACATCTATGTATTTCTTTGTATTTCGTCAATTGTCATATTTTATGTACATCAATTATGCTATATACTTTTATTGTTATTTGAATATTTCTATTTGTTTTGTCAATAAATGCAGAAATATCTGCTTACATAATTTTAGTAAAACTGAAAGATGCTATTTATTATGCTTGTGAAGTAGCATTTTTGTATTGATAATTACTAAACTAGTAGAAATATTGTGAATTGTGATATTACCATCATCTATTTTGTTTGATAATATTTCAGTATGACAAGATTCATGTTTTTTTTTCTTCAAAGATTTGTATATGCGACTTCCCCCTACAGTCATATAATTCTAGATCCGCAAATGATTAAGCGTTTTGTATTAAAATGATTATGATTAAACATGATATAATAAGCACTGCTTTGTGGAACCTGTGTGAATTGAAGTTTGAAGTTGAAGTTTATTTATTCAGCATTTTACATAAAGAACAGTTTATATTCTTTTTTTATTTTATTTATACAAGCGTATATAATATAAGAGTAGATTTCACACAAGAATTTTTTTTTTACAGATTTCAAATCAAGTATAATGTACGGAAAATTAATACGAAGATTTCGAAATATGTAGATATAACAGGCAAGGTAAAACAATGTAAAATTTGGGGAGCCTAAATAAAATGTATGTGAATAGGCTCCCGTACTGAGTAACACAATATAGTAGGTCTGAATTTTAAAGGTGTAATAGGAATCAAACACTTTAAACGAGTAATAATTATGTTCTTGTTTCCGAACTGGCCAATTCTTTATCAGTGCAACATTGATACATGGACACTATACGTTTACCGTTATCCAGGTAGCAGGCTAGCTGGGGATACATGCTTACCCAACGTTACGGCAGAAATGCTTGAAAGGACGCCTAATTACAGGTAATTAATTGTTATGTAACAAGTTAAAACATGTATTAGTATCCTAGAGTATTGAAAGAATAAGATATTCTTACAATTTCAGGAGGGATTTAGTTCTGATTTCAACCAATTCGGATAAAACTCCGCAATTTGTGTTTCAGAGGCATGACAGAAATAATTATATACCAGCATTCTTTAGCACAACCGGTGCCTCTGTTCCCAATTTAGTTCGTTTGATATTGACGCCAAGAATTTTTAAAAGAAAGAAGCAGTTATAAATCATAACAGCGGAAGAATATGGAGTTCATCACTTTCGTTCCATACAAACGAAAGTCTTCTAGGTAGTTTGCAGAGGCGGGATGGATTAATGGTATAGAGCAGTTGTCTCGAAATCCGAAGATCTCTGGTTCGAAACTAAGTCGGAGAGCAAGTGCCCTTTGGTAAGGCATTAATCCTTATCAAGCTCATCAAAGAGGACTTTTAGCCGTTGGTCCCCTGGTTTCCTACTAACAAGGACACACATGCTTTCTTAGAGATCAGGTAAAAGAAACAACCCAACCATTATTTGATAAGGTGTTCCTCTGTATTTTAATACGGATAAGTTCGAAAATTAGAAAATTAAAGCTACAATAGTAAAATACAAGTGACCATTGGAACGAGCAAAATCATTGCTTAATACAAATATTACATCTGATATAATAATTACACATGTGGGGCCTTTCAAACCATCTACGGCACCTAGTGGAAAGGTTAATGATCGTACCCATTCAATGATATATTCCATTGCGATGCAATCACTTTTCCGTATCCTATTTTTTCTTTATCCATCGAAAGGTGTTTCATATTTTCATAACTATTTCCTTTACTTGACGTGGATGAAGGAGCGCTTTATCAACGCTCTTTTCATTCAAATGCAGATCATGATACACTATAGTGACTAATTAGGAGCAATAGTTCAGCAAATTTCTGTCTTAACAATTTTACAATTCCACATGACATTGTATCTGATATAATTTGAAAGATTATTATCGCGAAATACGTGTCTATGATATTATTATCTAGATATCATTTGAAAACCTTAGTATTTTATAATGCAGTGTATATATAATATTAATCACTCTAGGGATACTAAATGCGGGCTTCTCTCGTGTGACGTCACTGATGTAGACATGACGTCATTACAAGCTCGTTCTCTCATGGAGTTGGCAAGCTGGGCTACAAACAATCTCCAATGCAAGTAAGTTCTTGAACAATATATTCATATCCCTCACAGGTAATTCCTTTTCAACCATGGATCAATGAAGATCATTCGACGTGTTCAAACATATTTTTACCAAAAGATCAAACCACTCTTTATCTCATTTATGACGTCAGAGAAAGATAGATTTTACTATTTTAACCTTACCATTTGCTTGAGAGATTACTTTTTTTGTGCATCCAGCCAGTTGACTTGCAGAAATAAGTGTCCAGGATTCTGTATTTCTTTCAATGTGCGAATTTTACTTTGAAACATGCATTTTAACCTTTTCTTTTTTTTTCAAAGGTGAGCGATGTTATTCATTGTTATTTCCTGCCAGTGGAAGCCAAATTTCTGTGTTTTTTAACGTGGACAATAAAATTTGAATCGTGAATCTTGATTTATGCAAGACTTTATCCATTCCCATAGGGTCTCACTTTACCACAAAGGAAGCGTTTCCTTCGGGGATGAGGCATGTGCCCCTTAGGAAAACGAACTACTACAGTTACCTCAAGTACAGAAGCTTTTCAAGGCAATACAAACTATGCGAGCGTGTGTTCGCGTGCGTTGGTGAGCGTATGGCCATCAATGTGTGGACGGATGTGCGTGTGTGGGTGTGTGCGTGTGCGTGTGTGTGAATGTTTGTTTGTGCTTGTTTGTGTGAAGAAAGGCAAGAACTGTCAAAAGGACAATTTTGATAGTTTCAAAATTGTGCAAATGATTTATTCGTTGTATATTACTGAAATAAATAATGCTCTCTTTCCACTTTGTCTTTGAAAAAATACAGAGTGGTGAGCATCGCCTTATCAGGCGGAACGAACCGAGGCGCTGTGCCTGAAGGGACCGCCTGTGGGAAGGGGCAGAGCTGTCGACAAGGCGAGTGTGTCCCGGTTGATATGGCGTCTTGTCCAATGGGAATCTCAAGGAAGATCTGTTCAGGAAATGGAGTAAGTTTTCACTGGCAATGCACTCTTGATACAAGAAAAGTCAAGCTTTTCATGCATAACCAAAGCCTCTCTTTTTGTTTAATGTCAGTGTGGGCTTTGTGCAATTTGCTGTGGCATATACTAAAAATGACAATTGAGCGAGGTCCTGGTATAATCTTCCCGATAGAGACCGGGGGATGCCATTGGTACTTCCAGTTTTTCAGACTAGCAGTAAACAATCATGACTAACAATGAACTATAAAAATGTATTTAAAAAAAAAAAAAAAAAACACTTCATTTTCTATAATGCCAAATTTAGGTTATAACATTTCTCATGTGCCTTTTGGTCTGTAAAGGGGGAAGGAAAATGCACCGTAGGAGGGGCACATTTTCTTTTATTTGTTGGTATATACTCAAGGAATGCCATTTGGGGGTTTTAAAAGAGGAGGATGCGTGAACCGGTTGTGCCCCTAAATCCACGAGTGTTAAAAAAACAGTTTATGCAATGTGTGTTCATTAATCTTCATCCTGTTATCCTCTCTAATCGTCTTGTAGGTTTGTGCTATCACAGGAGAGTGTGTGTGCTTTTGTGGCTGGAGCAGACCCTCTTGCTCTGTGAGGAATTCAACCCGGGAAGGGGTGATCTGCATTCCAAAATCCGTATTTGTTACAAGTGACGTCTCAATGAATCCCGAAGCTCCGCCCACTGATATCGGTATGTATGCGCTGAATTTTGAATGAAGATGACTTGGCCTAATTATTTACCATTCAAATCTGTTTGAGATTTACATGTTGTGATAATGGTAAACTGTCTGGAAAATTAAGCCTATGAACAGAATATATCGATTCCCATTTATCATGTTTTTTTTATAATATAGGCAACAGTGTCACATTTTAAATTCAGGAATTGCTATTACTTGGAACATTTACATTTTGGGAGGGGGAATTATTTGAAAAAGAAGAAAGAGATACAAACGATCAATTGAATGCCATGACACCAATATGATTAACTAGATACAGACGTCATGTTCTTGCATTTGTACATTATGAATGACAGGTGAACGGAGAATGATAACTTTACAAAAAAAGGAAGGAGGGAATTTCGCATTATTATAAAACTACTAAAGAGAGGGTGAGAGAGAAAGAGAGAGAGAGAGAGAGAGAGAGAAGTAGAGAGATAAAGAAATACAGAAAATGAGAAAGAGAGAGCAATATATATTAAGGAGAGAGAGGGACAGAGAGAGAGAGAGAGAGAGGAGGGAAGAGGGTGTGGGAGAGAGAATGGCGGAGATGAGGTGTGTTATGAGTTGTAAGTAAGCATACTCCTCAGTAACTCCTCAGTTGTTTTAAAATCATCGTTTTACCTGATTCTTTCTCATTTTAGATGATACCGGTGATGAAGTCGAGGTTCGTGTCTTAACGAGTGCTATCATCGGTGGGTCCCTGGCTATCATCTTTGTTGTGGCAATCATCTTTGGGGCAACCTCAATAGGATTCAAGTGAGTACATCTAGCATATCAGCAGGGGAGTGTTTCACACAGACTAAGATCAACTTAAGTTGGACTTAACTATGGCAGGCCGTTCACGCCACCACGGTGGCGTGCACCGTTTTCTCTCACTTGTGTGATCTTTAGATAATATTTTTTACCTTCAATAATGAATTATCAAAAAGTGTAAATTCTGTAAATTTATGACCATGATTTGTACGTCCCTTGAGATACCAATGCCAGTAAATGGTGAGAGCAAACAGTGTCAGTGGCATGAACAGCCTACCATAAGTCCAACTTAAAGTTGATCTTAGTCTTTGTGAAACACCCCCCCCCCCCTCGACAACTAATCCTAATAAAACTATCCTTAGTTTTGTAACTTATAAAGTGACCCCCAATCACCATCGGATATTTCCTGTATGTTGCATGAAATAACATTATTTTTAATTAAAAATAAAGGCGGTAAACACTAGGGAGAGGTTGCATTAAAGAGTAACATATTCTCAATATTTATTTACGAAGTAGAGGGGTCATGATATGACGAATAGAATAAGAACAGAAAGTAAATTTAAGATATACCGGTGTTGTTGATAGAGAAGGTATGATTCCCGTATTATAATTTATTTTGTCAGTAAATTCTAATTTTCAGCTTTTTATTTTTTGCTTAGAAAAGCTTGGATCCTCTGTCGGAGAAAATAAAAATCTTTGTTTGGGTGGGGTGGGGGGGGGGGGGGGGTGGGATAAAGGGACTTCATGAAATTAAGTATTACCTGTTATCAGAGTTGGTCCAGCACCCTCCATTCTAATGTTATGATGACGCCTCTAGAAAATACTTAACAATATTTACGGATATTATCGTTTCTATGAGAAGTATTATTTCATTTCTTTCGTTGAATACAGGAGAGCAAGAAAGAACAACCAAGCTAGGTAAGATGACCATTATTACCATTACTTGTAAATATTAGATTTTATAAGAATACATTAATCTTCCAAAACTTAAATCATGTCTTAAATAAATATGAAAAATATATATCCACACCTTTGCTAATACAAAAGTTGAAATATTATTGAACTGCCTTTACAAGGAAAAGATTAACATTTTTCTCATATCTTTCTGAATATGGAATGAAACTAGACAAACAAAATACTACTTTGGTTCATCATGATGGCTTCAAATACTGCGAATATATGAAATTTTGTTTCGGGGATTCTTTCATTCTTTCTTCTCGATTTTCTTTCCCAGACGAATGCAGCAGGTAAAACTTTTTTCGTAAGTATATATACATTCTGCCTCTTTTCAATATCAATTTGCTTTAGACATTTGCTATTTTTGTTCATATATATATATATATATATAGATTGGACAATTTACAAAGATAATCACTCATTGCTTTAATTTTCTATTAATGATTAATGATCTACAGATCAGTCATTTTCTAAAAGATTTAACAAATGAAGTTCACCATTAATCTTAATGAAAAGATGCCACCCGGAACTTTTGCGACAACTTGTAATGACGGATGATTGAGCTTCAAGGTTTTATGACACAATTACCTGTAATCTTACACATCTTTTAATTTCAAAATTACAAAAATCGAGGACACAAACGCTAAGTCAAATAACCTTTAGTGACCTCATGAAAAAGAAAAAAATTCCTGTGTGTCATGAGTAAAATCCTCTTTCACTAGCTCCAATCTTTTCTTTTGGTAGAATGTTCCAACCTACCGAAGGGCAAAAGAAGCGACTGGCAAAGTTCGGTGGGGGCAGGTCGCCGTATATAGCTGGCGAGCTAGAAGCCCCCTCATCGTCAATGGGCGCCCCATCTAGTCACCCACCAGGCGACCGTCATCATCATAAACCTAAACACCATAATCATCACGGCGGGGGTCAACCAGGGGGTCGTATGCAAGGCAAAAACAAAGGGTGAACGATTTCTTTAAATTCAAATATGACTTTTTAAGACAGATTTTAAAATGATTTTAAACGATTTATGCACTTGTAATCTAGGCTCACATTTAAACAATCTGTTTATTATCAATATAGACAGATGTATTCAGTAATCTTTAGTCAATCATTAGTTACTTAGTATCTGCTATATAAACAAATCATAATGAAACACTGCATAAACGACCTTCTGGATATATATATATGATATATATATATATATATATTGTTACGAATTTAGATATATGTCTGTATCATGTGCATAGTCCATTATTATTTCGCTATAATATTATTGCTTGCTGTGCAAGTCAAACTTGTCCTTCGGTAGATTTACGACGTTGTTTTTCGTCCTCGAGTAATTCTTGCAGTTCGATTGCGTAAGCCCAGGGCTACGCTCGTCTAAGAGAATCTGTCCTCGTCTTACGTAACGGCAAGGACAGATACTCAGTCGCGTGCGGCCTCCGACTGACCCCGAGCGGAGGCCAGACTTTGTCCTCAGTTTGAGGACAGACTCTGCCCTTTAGCTCGAGGTCGGGTTGTGTCCTTGCTGCTACAAAACAGCTCCCTATATAAAGCCAGGGATTCTAAAATCGAGAGAGTTCGGACTGACTTCTTGAGACTTCTCCTCGTACTCCTTTCTGCCGTTTTTCGTAATTCACTGAACCTGACTGTATACCAAGTTGTCATTATTTGAAGTTAGTGTAATAAACATCGAATGGAACTGAAACTCACGAATACTCCATTTCTTCTGTTGAATTTATATTGCATACACGCATGAGCTCGAGTGAGAGAGATATTGAGCGAGAACTGAACGAGAGCAGTCTGATTTAAACACTTGTAATCAAATTTCGTTACACTGGTGGCAGCGGTGGGATTTTGGACTTCAACACGCTAATCGAAATGGCAAGGAGGCGTAGAAAAACAGATTTAGAACAGGAGATCAGGGAGCTCCAATTGGAGCTTGATGAAGCACGACTTCAAATTCAACACTCTAGCGAGACAGATGCACAACCTTTGGAAGAGGAGGTTCAAATTCGCAGCCCCGCTCAACCAAGGGCTGCTATTCAGCTACCCCATCAGGAACATTTTGATGGAACACGCCCGTGGGAAAGCTTCATCTTTTCGTTCCAGAACATTGCAGAAGCGTGTGGATGGAACAAAAACGAAAAACGATTTCGAATACTGGCTTGCTTGCGAGGTAATGCAGCAGACTTCGCTTTCCAACAACTCTCCTCTGACGTCACAGGGGACTTCGATAACCTGGTAGCGGCGCTAAATGAGCGATTCGAAAATAGGAAAACACCGGCCTCATTCGTCTCCCAGTTGGAGGCAAGGCGTCTTGGACCGAAGGAGACTATTGCCGATTATGCCGCCGACGTAAGAAGACTGACAACTTTCGGTTATCCGAGTGCCGACGTCGACACAATAGAAACCATTAGCACGAGACATTTTTCTACGAGGAATCGGAGACCAAAACATGACATTAACAGTGGGAATGCACGAACCTAAATCCCTGCAAGAGGCCCGTGAGATAGCCGAGCGGTATTTCAATCTGCGAGAGGAGAGTAGCCCCAATGCCTACCGGCCGATTAGGGCCCTGTCATCCTCGCAATCGGTTAGCGTTACCGAAGGCCGGCTTGCTGATTTTGAACGTCGCTTTATGTCCATTGACGAAAGACTGAACACACTCTCATCCCTCTTAAAGGATCAGGCTGAAAGAAATTCGAGAGATGCAAATACAACGGGAGATGGACGGCAAGGTAGGCGAGGGAATGATGACAGAGGACGTCAACCTCGAGGGGGTAGACCCATGCACAACAGATGTTACGAGTGTGATAGGGAGGGGCATTTAGCTAGGAACTGCCCTAATCCTCGTTATGACAACCGCCGCTATCAACAACAACAACCATTCGTCCCACAAGCCTGGGCACCTCCACAGTTTGTGCCGCCACAGCCCCAGCCAAAGACACAGCAGCAAATGTGGGTACCACAGGCACCACCACCACCACAGCATCAACAACATGTACAACATCCCCAGCCTATGCATCAACGACAGGCCAACCCCTTACCATCCGTAAATAATGTCGAGGCGGGAAACTAGCTGGGGCCGATCCAATCGACCAGGTTTCGGCCCTTAAAACTACAGTGAGTAATGCATCGAGAATAATTAAACTCGTCAAAAGTACAGGGCTTTCGGCTTTTATTGGAGCAAATGTTCATGGTGCAAACGCTAAATTTTTGGTCGACTCGGGCGCAGCAGTGACTGTTATTTCCTCTAAAGTTTACGAAGGTATAGACATAGATTTGCGTAAACATCTTAAAGAGCCGACAGAGGACATTCAACTTCAAGCAGCGAATGATGAAATACTACATATCTATGGGACGATTGATCTCGACATCACACTTGAGGACATGACATTCAAGTGGAATGTCTTCGTGGCTGATATAAGTGACGAGGGCCTTCTCGGATTTGACTTCATGCACCACTTTAACTTTATTCTTGAACCTAGACGTGGGCTTCGTTTGAATGATCGCTTGTTTCAATGCGAAATTATTTCTGACTCGAGCTGTAATGTGATAGCCAAGCATGACGTCATTATCCCTGCTAACTCTGAATTCATCATCGCCGGCAGTGCCAATGTCACTAAACTAAAAGGCGATCTTCCATACGGATTGATTGAACCCATGAATAGCGGAGAAACATTACAACCAATTCATGTAGCCAGCTGCGTGGTCGATATCAATAGGAATGATATCGATTTGCCTGTACGGGTAGCCAACACACTTGGGGTGGATATTCATGTGCATGCCGGAACCAAACTCGCAAACCTACAGCTTATAGACAAAGTGTACCATGAAGGCAATAACGGAGCTAAGCCTCTTCCTCGAACTATTAATGTTGTAAAAAGTAGCTCTGCATCAGGAAATCTTAAGTTTGAGGATTGGTCTGAAGACTTAAAGTCGTTGTATAATCGCAGCTGCGGAGAGTTGTCATCGACACATGAGAGGGACAAATTAGCTGAGCTACTCGATAAGCATAAATCGACATTTGCAGTTTCTCCAAATGACTTAGGACGAACATCATTGGTTCAGCATGCAATCGACACAGGTACTGCCTCACCCATTAAGCAGAGGCCAAGACGCCCGCCTCGAGCTTTTGTGGACGAAGAGGAGGAGATAATTCAGACACAGTTGCGATCAGGGGTTATCCGCGAATCCACGAGCGCCTGGTCGAGCCCGCTGGTGTATGTAAGGAAACGAGATGGATCAACAAGGCCATGCGTGGATTATCGCAAATTAAATGAAGTGACGACAAAAGATGCTTATCCACTTCCTCGTATAGAGGACTGTCTTGACTGCATAGGAGGTGCTAAAATCTTTAGCACTTTAGACTTACAATCCGGATACTGGCAAATAGAACTAAAGGAGGAGGACCAGCAGAAGACGGCATTTAGCACTAGAAGCGGACATTACGAGTACATCACGATGCCGTTTGGATTATGCAATGCCCCGAGCACGTTTGAGCGGGGTATGGAGCTTCTCATGAAAGGTTTGCAATGGAAAACCTTAATCCTTTATCTCGACGATATCATCGTTCTAGGTTCCACCTTTGAAGAGCATCTCGAGAGGCTCGATGAGGTACTCGATCGTCTTGGCCAAGCAGGGCTAAAACTAAAACCCAGCAAATGCAACCTAGTGAAGTCGGAAGTATGCTATCTTGGGCATGTAGTAAGCGCAAAAGGCATCAAGCCCGACCCCGACAAGATAGATAGGATTCACCAATGGCCTACACCCAAGACGGTAAGCGATGTTAGATCTTTTATCGGTCTTTGCTCTTACTACAGGAGATTTATCCGTGGATTCTCATCTATCGCTTCACCCTTGACTCGCCTCATGGAAAAATCTCGCACATTTGAGTGGGACAGTGAATGTCAATCTGCCTTCGATGAGCTGAAACTAGCGATCACGAGTGATAATTGCATGGCATATCCAAATGATGAGGGTATGTTCATATTAGATACTGATGCGTCAGCCACAGGCGTCGGTGCTGTTTTGTCCCAACTACAGTGGGATGAGTCAGCCCAGTGCGAATTGGAGAGACCAGTCGCATTCGCTAGTCGATCTCTTACTAAGACACAACGTCGTTACTGCACTACACGTCGAGAACTATTAGCAGTTGTCTCATTCGTTTGCCACTTCCGTCATTTTCTGTTTGGCAGAAAATTCTTGATCCGGACTGATCACTCATCTCTTAGATGGATAATGTCATTTCGTGAACCAACTGATCAAATGGCTAGATGGATTGAGAGATTATCCCAATTCGACTTCGTGATCGAACATCGGGAAGGTAGAAAGCACGGCAATGCTGACGCGTTATCTAGAATCGCATGTGATCCCGATACATGTGACTGCTATGACAAATCATCGATCCTCGAACAACTACCATGTGGAGGATGTAAGACCTGTGAGAGGCGACATCGTGAATGGTCTGACTTCTTCGAGGAAGACGACATCATCCCACTTTCCGCGAGGAGTATCCGGCCAACACAGAAACCGGCCTCACACATCCAAGCTGACGCAAGCTGTCAAACTACGTCAATAAGTTCTCATCAAGGAGGGGGACCTGAAGTAAAGAAGGGACTATACGTCATGATTGTGTTCGTCGTCGCTTTCTTTATGAGTTTGATCAGCAGTATAACAAGGTGTAGAACGCTATGGGGAATTATGATAGTGTGTATCCTCGGTATTTTAGCAGTATTTTGGCAAGATATTGTGCATGGAGGATATGTTATGAATGGAGCAGTATTGTCGTTTGGAGGAGGATTATGGTCTATCCCAAGTAGATTAGCTAGAGTAAATCGTGCTTCGACGTCGCAGAAGAAGGTGCCGCCTGATAAGCGAGGTAATCATGTTAACAACGGTGGCCAGTCAGACTCTGTAAGTGGGGGAAGACCCGAGCTCCAGGGAGTCATCATTGG